CGTTCATTAGAAGCAAGATTCAAGTTGCTGAAGTTTATTTTTTCACTTAACAGAAATGAATGGAAGCCAAGGAATCGAAAATTCCACTTTCAAACAGACCGCCACCCTTTGGTTTGACATGATGTTGTGATAGTAAACCTAATAGTTTCAAAGATACAGAGATACTGAGCTTCTAGTCTCTACTATCTGTTTTGGTGTCAGCTGAAGGGTGGAACCTCTGCTGATAATACAGGGCACAGCTCACGCTCTCTTCCTTTGTTGTTTCATGCGCCTCGTCTGCTTCTCCTGGAAACAAACAACAACACAACGTACACCTCCATCCTCTGTTTCTATGGTAACACAGCGGTGAGGAGAGCAGACAAGAGGAGCTGTAGCCTCCTCCAGCTCTCCTCCACGATCAACAGCAGAATGAGAACAAGGAGAAAAAGAGAGGGCAGGAAAACAGTCGAGTAGAAAGAAGGGAAGTCAGAGGGAGGCAGAGAGAGAGAGGAGGCAGAGGGAGGCAGAGAGAGAGAGAGGAGGCAGAGGGAGGTAGAGGGAGGCAGAGAGAGAGAGAGAGAGAGAGAGAGAGGAGTCAGAGGGAGGTAGAGGGAGGCAGAGAGAGAGAGAGAGAGAGAGAGGAGTCAGAGGGAGGTAGAGGGAGGTAGAGAGAGAGAGAGAGAGAGAGAGAAGGAGGCAGAGGGAGGTAGAGGGAGGCAGAGGGAGGCAGAGGGAGGTAGAGGGAGGCAGAGAGAGAGAGAGGAGGCAGAGGGAGGTAGAGGGAGGCAGAGAGAGAGAGAGAGAGAGAGAGAGAGGAGTCAGAGGGAGGTAGAGGGAGGCAGAGAGAGAGAGAGAGAGAGAGAGGAGTCAGAGGGAGGTAGAGGGAGGTAGAGAGAGAGAGAGAGAGAGAGAGAAGGAGGCAGAGGGAGGTAGAGGGAGGCAGAGAGAGAGAGGAGGCAGAGGGAGGTAGAGGGAGGCAGAGAGAGAGAGAGGAGTCGGAGGGAGGTAGAGGGAGGTAGAGAAAGAGAAGGAGGTAGAGGGAGGCATAGGGAGAGAGAAGGAGGCAGAGGGAGGTAGAGGGAGGCAGAGAGAGAGAAGGAGGTAGAGGGAGGCAGAGAGAGAGAGAGAGGAGTCGGAGGGAGGTAGAGAAAGAGAAGGAGGCAGAGGGAGAGAGAAGGAGGCAGAGGGAGAGAGAAGGAGGTAGATGGAGGTAGAGGGAGGCAATCAGCACATGCTCTTGTGCAGGATGTAGTATCTATGGTAACCTCGGCTGGTTATCAGAGACTTGAAGTCCCTTCTGTTTGTCTCCGTTCTGCTGCCTTTTCAAAAACACCATTAATCTCCTCCTCCAGTGCACCGCCTCATATTCTGCTCTTTATTTAGTGGTTCATCTTGTTAGTGCAACATGTGCGTCCAACTCCAGGCTGCATGTAAGACGGACAGAGAGACAGAGAGAGAGACGGACGGAGAGACAGAGAGACGGATGGAGAGACAGACGGACAGAGAGAGAGATGGACGGAGAGACAGACAGACAGAGAGACAGAGAGAGAGATGGACGGAGAGACAGACAGACAGAGAGAGAGACAGAGAGAGAGACTGACGGAGAGACAGAGAGACGGACGGAGAGACAGACAGACAGACAGACAGACAGAGAGACAGAGAGAGAGACGGACGGAGAGACAGAGAGACGGAGAGACAGACGGACAGAGGGACGGACGCACAGAGAGACGGACAGACAGACAGACGGACGGAGAGACAGACAGACAGACAGACGGACACCGAGGCTGGCGTTTGCTCTTCCAAGGAAATGAGACATCTCGCCCAGAACCAATATTTGCCCTGGACATGGTCTGTAATGAAAACACTGTAATGCGTACAGTTTCACAACTGGGGGGGGGGGGGGGGGCAAATAAAGACAACCACCTGTCTGTTGGACTCCGCTGCGGAGGGACGGCAGGGTAAGAAAGCAGCGTTTGCTGCTGCATCGCTGCAACTACTCCGCTGTGTTTGTGTTGAGCGGCTGCTTGTCTGAGAGAAGAAGAAGAAGGCTGCAATGACACAATCTGTTCAGATCTAGTATAAATTATCATAACCATGAGTAATGAAAATAATGCTGATATTGATAAAGTCTTTATTTTCTTTATCATGGATCATTATTCCATTTTTTTCCCAGTCTAAAAAATTAAAATGGGGAAAAATGGTCAAATTTTTACATTTTGAATATTGGTAAATATTGGCCTCCCTGTCGAGAGCCACCACAGAACACACACATGATACACACACACTGCTGGAACCAGCACATACCGACGTCTTCAACGTCCACTTCAGATTAACATTGATGTGCTGTGGGGAAGCTTCCACACAGAGCGCTCTGCAGAGGACTCCGAGTGCTTCTAGTCCCGACGCACCTCATGCAGCAACTCTGACTTCTCTGTTGAAAGAAACAAATACTAGAAGTCTGAACGGCGGCTCATTAATTGGAGGCGTGTGGTGGATTGTTTATCATAGCGTAGGTAACGCTGTGCTGTGTGCACGTGACTGTATACTGGAGAGATGAAGAACGTCAGCAGTAGAGAAAGTGAGCTTCAGTCCAGTGAACCTAAACTAAGTCCTGGTGGTCCAGCACAGTTCAAAGGCATTTAAGAGCAGCATGTCAACCATCCACAAGTCTGTTTAGTCCTAATAGAGCTTCTTTAATAATCCAACCGTTATAATTACTCTAAAACATATAATAATTAAAATAAATGATGTGATATTCACGCATTTTTTAAATCTCTCTTTATGTTGGACAAACAATTACTTTTCTCCTCTTAGTCGGAGTGCTATGGACCACTCGTAACGTCTTCTCTTACCTGAGAGAAGAGCAACAACAAGAAAATGTTATAAGTTAATAAGAGGACATCTCTTCTTCTGTCTCTTCCTGCATGAGGCCCTTTGAATTCTACCAATGGGATGAAAGAGCACTGTTACCTGCTCTCACCTCTGCACACCTGGCCCGTCGCTGTGTGAAGTGATTCAAGGATCATCTCTTGTCATTATGCAACACAGGGAACTAAATGCAGTTGTAGTCCATTCATAACACAACAAACGCATAACAAAGAAAACCAGTTTTACATTCCTGTAGAGCAGTGGTTCTCAACTGGTCTGGCTGCGGGACCCACCATCACACCTTAATGACAAGCCACGACCCAAATAGAGGAAAATGTTCAACTTCTCAAAGTTATTTAATGTAAAGATGGAGCAGTTTGAACCTGAGCTGAACATGTCCTCTGCAGTCGTAGAGTAGGAGCTCTCTAGTGCAGAGACATTGTTCCTGTCAGTCATCCGACATGTCTTCAGTTCAAGACTTATAGTGTCATTAGACAGAGGTATAGTTTTCAGTTCATCCTCTGCTGATATTAGCAATACAAGGCATTAACGCCAAATATTGTTAAGGAGTGTGAATAGACGGCACTCCGCTGCATAAAAAAAATCCCCTTCAAAATAAAAGCACAGTTATATTTTTTCAGTAGCAGAAAGCACTGAAAATGGATCCGCGTGACCCACCAGTTGACAATCACTGCTGTAGAGCATCTTTGATATTCTCATCATAAGGAACATAAACAGCAGCAACAGAAACAGTTCTCTGGTCAGATAACATGGCCGACATCTTCACATTAAAAACTCAACACGAGGAAAACATTGTCCATCAACTGTGACTGTGTTTGAGCACCAAGCATCATGATGTGAACACAGAGTCCTCCTCCTCTGGTCCACCAGAGTTCTGCTCTCTGTCCTGACCCGTCAAGTGCAGCTTGATCCTGGACCACGATGGATCCAGGTCTCTGTGAAGATGTGGGCTCAAAGGTCACCGACCTCCAGCTGCTTTCATCCATCTTATTTTTCAGCGACCGGGCATCAGACAGCCAGGAGCATGCTGGGTAGTGGAGCAGCCTCAGGTCCTGCTGGGTTAGCTTAGCTTCCATCTCCCCTCCCTCTCCTCTCTGGGGCAGTTTGGTGGTGTTTGGTCCAGCAGGTCTGACTAGGTGGGTGGCTATCGCCTCAAAGTCCGCTGCACCTTTTCAGATGTTGAGTGTATTCTGTCATAAATGCTCCAGTAAAGAAAAACAAATTAAATCAAATAAGGACAAAAAAAATGTAGCGAAATGAATGATTCATCATTCTGTGAACGTTGCATGTTCACAGAAAAACGTATCTCAAGTTTTCTCAATGAAAAAGAAAACCAGCGATGATAAGCAGCAGAAAGCACTGCGGCCTCATCAGGGTCCAGATGACGTCTGCAGGACTAATGTCCGCTGGTGATTCATCGACTGCCATTTCTCTGCATTACCGACCGACAAATGTCTTATTATAGACGCACTGTGGCATTAAACATTTCTCTTCAGACTTCTTCTGGGGGGAGGAGATATACGGGCTCAGTTTCCTTGTGATTTTACCCCCCCCCCCAAACACACACACACACACTTTCTCTTTAAAGACTCTTCTGTCTCTGAGTCCGGAAACTTGTGGTCATTTGTCAGCGTTTCTGTAATCATTTTGAGACGAGCAAACAGGTTGTGGCCTGTTACTCAGCTGCATCTACTTCCAGCTCCCACAGCTGGGATCTGCCATCACACCGTACTGGGGTGTGTGTGTGTGTGTGTGTGTGTGTGTGTGTGTGCGTGCGTGCGTGCACGTGTTGACTTGAAGCTACATGAACAATGTCTTTCTGCGCCGTGTTTGTGTGATTAATGGCTTTTGCTAAATTGCTTTTCCACTTTGTTTCAGCATTCAATGACTATTCCCTCCATGAAACGTCCCCACAGCTGATAGCGAGGCCTCTGTGTGCTCGGTAGCAGCGCTGGCCTGGTGTTTACCCAGGGCACGTTAGCCCAGAACTTCTTTCTTTTTGTCTTTCCGGCCGACCGCCAGTAAAAATAAACGCTCTTTTTTTTGTCTCTGTTTGAATATTCAGTATGTTGTGTAAATGTTCGACGGTGGCAGACTAACGTCCTCTGGCTTTGTCTCTCCTCTGTCTCCAGCCCACCGGTTACATGGAGACGTCCCTGTCCTACAGCTCCATAGAGGACCTGCAGCTCCTCTCGTGGGACAACGCTCCCAAGTACTGTGTCCAGCTCAGCTTCCCCGGCGGCACCGTCCTGCTGCAGGTAACGTCTGCCGTCATCTTAGAGAGGAGCTAGTGGAGCTCAGCTCTTCATCAGGGTGGAATATAAAGGCTGGAAGTAAACTAGAGACCATGACGTCGTCGTTGGCTGTTTTCTTGCAGGCATAGCTTATTCTGTTAGCAATAGCTACGGCTACCATCAAGATATGGGCTTGTGTTAGATCATTCATTCATCTCATCAGTTTGGTGCAACACTAAAGGATGCATGGGATGCAGTTTGATTTCTCTACGGACATGAAAGGGAACATAAATACTTGTTGATCAGCTGAGTTATGCTCATAAACCGTACTTTGTTAGTATACCTTCCTTTAAGGGTCAGTAGTGTTTCAAAAGGTTTTGTAGAAGAATGTGTTCCATACCATTTACCATAACTATAACGCAGCAGAGGAATCCATCAATGCAGGTGTCCGAGCAGCTCCGTGTGTCATCTGCTCAGGAATTTTAAAAAAGGGTCAGAATTATTTTGAAGGCTTTGAAAAAATAAAATGAACATGGACAAGACAAACACAACACAGAAATAAGTCTTAATTCTGTTATTTATCAATTATTTCATTTTTCTCCACTTCTCCAGTTTTTAAAGCATATTTTAAATTTAAGGTAATTTTTTTTCAAGATTTGAACAATATGTTTGAAAAGTAACTCAGCAGAATAGTGAGCCGGTTCATCGGGATGATGCACAGTAGCCTGGTGTGACCCTTGTGCTTCACCAGTTAGCAGTTAGCTTGTGTTCAGATGGTGCAAACAGGTGGCCACATGTTCCACTCTGCACTTTTTAATGATGAACCCCTTCATGCTCGTGTACAGCTGCTAATGGATGGAATATTTGTGTTTGTGCAAAGGACGGTCCCTGGCTGGATAAAGAAGTCTGGCATTCATTCAGCTCAAACTCTTTGGCAAAGTCTTTGTATCTACGATCGTGTTTCACAAGAACTTCTAGATAAACAGAGTGAAGGTCTGGGAACAGAGTGGAGCACTGTGTGGTTAGTGTTGGGTCAGTGTGCTGTGATAGATGATTGGACTGATGTTCTAAAGCTGTGGGTGTAAGGGGAACTTTGGTCCTGGAGGGACGAGCACATTTGTGTTAGTCTCCAGAGTGCTGTGTCAGCACTAAAGGAAGGGCTGGCTCCACACATTATCCATCTGATGTTTGCCTTCTTCAAACCGATCACAATAGATTAGTGGCTGTATTGTTTTGGAAAGAACCAGAACCCGTACTGGATACCCTCACACCTCAGTCCATCCCCACGTTAACCAGAGTCCTTCAGTGAGCACATTCGGTACTGTAGCCCATTAGCCCAATTACCTCTGATACGCTACTCGGCCCATTATTGGTGGTGGGGGTCAGCGGTGTCTACCCACCTCATCAGCTGTGTTTGCTTATGCCTGCTGCCAGCTGTTTGGACCGCTGCCAGACACATTCAGTGTGTTCCTCGGAGGGAAAAGCTCGGCCGGTTTGCATTCACGAGCCGAGATCAGTCAGGGTTCCTGAAAGCGGTGAAAACCTGGAAAACCTGGTGTGTTGCTTCACTTACTGGAAGAACATGGAACATTAGAACAAATATTTCCAAGTCATGGGAAACTGAGGATAGTAAGATAGTAAGTCGCTGCAGCAACTAATTGTTCATACGCACAAACTATGTAGCTGCATGGCGTGTGACGTAGTAGCAATAAAAGTGATGAATACACAACCCAATCATTTTAAACACGTAAAAGCTTCTAAATTCACAAGTAGGGTATGTTTCATGACGATTTTATGTCGTAGAACAAAACGTTCAAAACTCTTCATCCTGTGTTAACACAGAGCTTGTTTCAGACTTCTAACCAAAAACACATCGACTTTGAGACGAGGGAACCGGGAATGTAAACTATGCTGATAGAGCTTTAAGCAGACAATAATGGACTCAGTATACCCTGACATCATTTTAATCTATTAATAATATTAAAACAGTTACAGTTTAACTCCTTCACGGTAGCACACAGGCATGATTGTTTCTCTCAAACAATAGGCCACCTACTGTACTGAACACACTACACCATGTTCACTTTCTCCCTCTGAATACAAACCGCACCTGGACTGGTCTGAGCTCAGTGTTAGCGCACTTTGTTTTGCTGTTAACAAACAGCGGACGGGTAGTAAAAAAGTTCAAACACGCTGGAAGCAGACGGGAATAATGCCGCATCCTTTCTGGTCCTGGTGCGTCGCTCACTTTTCCTTGTACTCTATCTGTGTTGTAGGAGAAGCTCATTTTTAAAAGATGTCGGCCAATAATTTCAACCATTTTATTTATCTTACTTCTACTGTAACTCTCTGTAACGTACTGTAACGTACTGTAACTCACTCTAACTCACTCTAACTTACTGTAACTCACTCTA